CTTCTGTGCATGAAGTGCAATTTCTTGTTGAGTTAACTAGAGAAGGGGACAGGAGAGGGAGAAAGTTCATCAGAGGCTGTCTGCCTTCCCCTTAAGGAAAGTTTTGTAAATTTGGACAGTGACCACCACCCACTCCACCTCTTAGTGCTGAGCCTGCAGAGTTATAGGATGACATTTAGTGGATTGCTTCTGGGTGTTGGCTCTCTCTTTGGATTTCAAGTTTTGATGATTCATAGGAATGCTGTGGGAAGATCTATGTGAGCAAGAGTTCGGGAGGGCTGTTCTATCTCTGCTCTGCCCAAACTGATATGAACCTCATCCCTAATGTGTCTGTCCTGACACATTACAATATCTACCTCTATTCATAGATATCCCAGTATGGATGTATATAAGTCATATAAGACGTGTTCAGTCAGCTGTCTGTCTGTTATTTTGTAGTCTGCTACCAAGTCCCAAATTAAATGTTTTTTAACAAAAGATTTTCAGTTGAAATATAAATCTTTCTCTTTCCCCACCCTTTCCTCTCTCCAGTCCCTCCCAGCAACCCTTCCTCCAAGATTTTCATAACCTCACAACACTCTTAAATTGATATCCTCTTTTTCATTGAAAATTATTGTTACATATATGGCTAAAGCTATGCATATTCACTTATATATGTACACATCTCATATATACACATACATATATACATACATGTACATATATACACATCACATATGCATACACACATATATAAATGTAACATACACACACATATATATGTTTAATTCCATACACGTGACATTAGTACTCACAGCAGTCCTTTGGAGCTCCCAATGCTACTTTCTCTCTATCATCGATTGGAGGATTCTGAGACATGGCTTCAGTATTTCATTAGTCACAAGATATAAAGTATATATGAATTTCTCTTACCTGTGACAGGAAGGTACAAGGGGTCACTTGGAGTTGACCACAGATGGGAAGAGTTCCTGAAAGAGCCATAGCATCTATAGTTCCCTGCCTGGACCACAGGACCAAGATGGAAGTTGGCCTGGAATGTCCCATTGTTGTTCTTCACTGAAGGCAGCCCATGTCTCTTGGGTACCCCTTTCCTGGACAGATGGAACATGTCAAATTGAAGGTCAGAGAAACAGGTCAAGGTCATGTTTTCTCCTGACATCACCACAGGACCCATCAGGGCTGACAGAGAAGGTTTCTTGTATAAACCTGAGAGAAAAGAGGCAGAGATAGTTAGTTACCAGTGTTCATTCACTCCTCAGTGTTCCCTCTGCCTGCTTCTATTTCATTGATCTCTGTTTGCCTCTTACCATATCCTCCTCTCTATGTCTCCATTTCTCCTCTCCTCTCTTTCTCTCATTCTCTCTATTTTTATGTTACCATCTTTAGTCTATGACCTCACTGGTACTCAAATATTTTATGCCAATTTTTGCTCATTGACATTTTATGCCTGTATTGGCATTGGTCCATTCCACCTGTCTTTTACAGTTTGTTTTTATGAGCATAATTAATTTTATCTAACATTAACCTTCATAATGAAGTATTCATATTCATGCATAATATATTTTTATGCTTGTTTTGAAATTATTTCTTAATTTTTGAAATTGATCTATATCATTTAATGTATTTATATCATTTAATGTTCTTAAAAAATTTTTTGTTACATATATTTATAGATGTATACTATTAACAATATTAATGTTATTATTCTTTCTTGCCCCTCAA